CCTCCCCGCCCTCCGGCCCTGCGGCTGCCGCGCCCGGCCGCCGCCGCGTCCCGGCATCCCTGCCTTTCTTGCTCCTGTACCCCCACGGCGTGGACACCTTGCCCCTGGGGACACCCGCCCTCCCTAACGCCGGGGATACCCGCTTTCCTTGCGGGGTTCCTGCACCTACCGCCTCCTGCCCCCTTTGACACCCTGCTCCCTGCACACCCCGGCCCGCAGCACCCCCGCCCCTCCCCCATCACCCACTGACCCCTGCCCTATCCCGCTTGGCCTGTGCCACGGGCCTGCCCGCTCTTGCTGCCCCCACACACTCTTCCCGCGTCCCAGCCCTTCTCCACGCCTGCCTCACCCATGCGTTCCCCAGGGCTGAGCGCAGTTCCCTATCGCCCCCACCCTGTTACCTCCCCCAGGTGTGAACCGACACTTCCATATGATCTGTATCCGGGACAAGTTCAGCCAGAACATTGGGCGGCAGGTTCCATCCAAGGTCATCTGGGACCATCTGAGCACTATGTATGACATGCAAGCACTGGTGAGCTGGACTCGTGCTTCTCTAGTCTTGGGGGGAAGTGGGGAGATGGGAGGCCCCACACCCTGTCTTCCGAAGGTCAGAGCCAGTGGGGTGGAGCATGCCCGCTACTGGGCAGAGCAGCAGGGGGCCCCAGCAGAGGAGGTGCTGGTCCTTCTGAGAGCTCAATAGTGCAATGGAAAGCACCAGCCTAGTCATAGTAGCTGGTTGCTCTCTCCGGGACCCTACTTTAGATTGGGCAGTCAATAAAAGTCCAGGGAGTAACTGGGAACCTGAGACTGGGGCGAGGCATCCACCACAGAGGGACAAGTGGGGATGCAGAGGCGTGGCCCCTAGCTGTCAGTCTTTGGGTGACCCAGAAGCGTTGTAGGGAGAGGATAACATTACGTGAATCCCGTGGAAGTAAAGCAGTGTCTGTGAGAGCCAGGCAGATAGAGGCCCTGGCCTCACAGAGTTGGGAGCTAACAGTGTCTGGCTGGTAAGCAGGTTAACCAGATAACCAGGATGGCAGGAGAGCTGGAGGTGTCTGATGAGTGAGCAGATGAACTAGATAATCGAGGTGGCAAAAGAAACAGGTGGGTGTTCCTGGCAGAGAAAGGGCAGCTGTCGAAGCCCTGTGGCAGCCGAGGTTGGTAGGCCTAGGAAGTCAAGGGAGTGTTCCTGGCATGAGCCAGGGCTGGGAGTTGGCGCTCCAGAAGAGGTGTGCTGGTGTAAGCAGAGTGTGCCTCCTGCCCGGACACAGGGCCATGCTGGGCCTGGGTGGGCCTAGGTTCCTGCTGTGTGGCTGAGGCTGAGAACACTGCCTTGGGCAGATCCTGTGCACTCCCCTCTGAGAGCTATGGGAAGAGGACAGAGGGGCAAACCACATTTTGTGGAGTTTACACTGGCTGACCAGCACCTGGAAACCTAGATGCAGCAGACTGTTAGAGTCTGCATCCTGGAGCATGCTTGCTCCTGCCTGTACATTGAGTGCATTAGTCGGAGGCTGGGCACCACCTGCAAGGTCAGAGGCTCTCTCTTTCTCGACTCCCCAGGGCTAGCAGCTTGCATTTTGTGGGGTCGTTTGGGGGCACTGGTCTCCAGGCACTCCTGCACCAGGTTCCAGAGAGATCAGTGCAGCACTGATGCAGCCTGTCTTTGGGAAGGACAGAGAGTGCCAAAGCCTGAGACGGGCACAGTGGCCTGCAAGACCGGGCCATCCCTTCCTCTGGCTTAGAGCACCTTGACAGGTGCACTTAGGCTGAGCTGCCTGGTTTCATATGGCACCAAGCTGCTGATAGCTCTGTCTCCTGACCCCTAGTTCAGGGGCGCTCCCTGCCAGCTCGCTCTTCCTGTGATCCACTGGACCTCTACCGTCTGATCTGTGTGACCTGAGGAAGCCCAGTCAGGTCTTACTACCCTGCTGCACTTACCTTGTCTTCCTTGCTGGCTGTCCGTGCATGTGGCTTTTCCTGCTGACGCCCTCAGGGTCTGTGGGCTCCTGCCATGTAAACAGGAGCAGGAGACATCTGTGAGCTTTCCTCACTGTCACGGCTTCCTGGACAGCCTCTGGGAGGATGGTCTGGTGAGAAGGCCGTGCTGGCGAGTCACACTATAGCATCCTTAGGTCTCTCAGTGGTGCTGGCCCATGGCTCTTCACAGGGTCTGCTAGTCTAGCCCTTCCTGTCTGTCTGGAAAGCCCAGCCACAGTGGAAGGAAGGAAAGGTCTTCACCCTGCGTGCCACCCACTCACAGCTTCCAGTGGTCATGATGCTCCCTGCTCACTAGCTGCCTCTGAATGTCTTTTTTTTTTGTCTTTTTAAGACAGGGTCTTGCTATGCAGGTCAGGCTGGCCTTGAGTTCACTCTGTAGCCCAGGCTGGTCTCTAACTCACAATGATCCTCTTGCCTCAGCCTCCTGAGTGCTGGGATTATAGGCGTGTGCCACCACACCCGGCTCTGAATGTCTTCAGTGACCTGCTGACATCACATTTTCTTTGTTTCTTGAAAATACAAAATGCTCTGTTCTTCCTTAGCATGAGTCCGAGATTCTTCCCTTCCCAAATCCGGAGAGGAACTTCGTCCTTCCTGAGGAGATCATTCAAGAGGTCCGAGAAGGTGAGACTTGGATGAGGTCAGGTCTGGGAATAGAAAAGGCCAGACCTGGGCCAGCAGTGGGGAAGTCAGGGACTTTTAGGAGGTGTGAGGGTCCTGCTCAGGCCCCACCTCTGTGTACATGGGAGGTCTTGGGAACCTGCGGGCGGGGGAGGACTTTGCTCAAGAGCAGTCGTGTGACAGACACCAAGACCTGTGTGGGCAGCAAGAGTTGGGCAGTGCTGACCTGACCGTCCCCAGTGCTGGCCATCACCGTGGGTTTCCAGTGAACGTCAGCCGTCTCCTCCACAGGAAAAGTGATCATTGAAGAGGAAATGAAAGAGGAAATGAAGGAGGACGTGGACCCCCACAGCGGGGCTGATGATGGTGAGTGTGGGGCTCCTTACGCCGCCCTGTGCCCTTTAGAGCGCAGCACCCCGTCTCCCCAGCCAGAAAGGCATCCCACACGCAGGGCAAGCCAGGTGGCCATAAAGCGTGCGAGATGGCAATGCCCGTTACAGGCAGGCACGGTGCGGGTCCTCTCCGTGCAGGACTCCTGACAAGTCTTCCCTGTATGGGGAGCAAGTGCTCAGCTGGCCCCTTATTTGACATCGTGGCAGAGCCTGGAAGCCTGAGCATGTGACACCCTGGGGCTCTCATGGTTGGAAGGCCCTCAGGAAGACCCAGCCCATGTGTGAGGGTCTCCCCAGCCAGGAGGAAGCCTGTTGCATTCAGAGGGTCACATGTACAGATTCTCATTTTTCTAACTGAACAGAGAGATGAACCGAGATTCTGAATATTTTCAGCGAAATCATTTTGTTTCTCAGTTTTTTCATCTTCAGGAAGCTTGGGGAAAGCAACAGAAAAATCCAGCAAAGACAAAGAGAAGAACTCTTCAGACTTGGGGTGCAAAGAAGGGGCGGACAAGCGGAAGCGCAGCCGGGTCACCGACAAAGTGCTCACAGCAAACAGTAACCCCTCCAGCCCCAGCGCTGCCAAGCGGCGCAGAACATAGACACCTCAACCCCAGGGGCAGCAGAATCGTCCTGATGCTTCAAGCTACTACTGCCTGCCCTCAGGTCTCGGCAAAAGCGTTCATCTCATGGGGACATGCATGGAGCCTGGCACCGTGCTGCCAGCCCATCAGGGAACTCATGGACCTGAAAGACCAGGGTCAACCCCATTTGGTCGTGCAGGCAGCTGAATCCGCATTCTGCCTCCTCCCAGGGCGTCTCCACCTTCGCCTACCACTTGCGGAGGAGACCAGGAGAAGACCTGAATCAGCAAGCAATAAAACACCGTCCTCACTCTGTCTCAGAGGGAGCACGTAGTCTTCCCTGGGTTCGCACTCTGCATCGCTTGGCCCTCTAAGCCCCACTTCTGCCCTGACCAAGACATCAGGAGAATGTGGCCCAGGACGTCACACTACTTGCCTTGTGTGGACCCCCAACCGAGAACCTAAGGACTGGGTACTTTGCCTCGTTCACTTGTACTGTAATGATGTATATAATTTGGTTGGTATTTCACTATTTAATTTGTAAGAAACCTATTTTATACTAGTGTTTTATATGAGCAAAAATACTGCAGAAGTTAAACCTATGTTGTATTTTTTCTGAGATGTTTTGTTTTAAGGTAACAACTGCTGAGATACTTTTTGCTCAGTTTTTATATGCCAGATACAGAGAATTTGTAGCGGTTATTTTTGTAATTCTAGTGGCCTGTGAAAAGACTAAATGAGCGAGTGGAGGGGAAAGCACAACCACTGGGCTGAGGCGGTGGTGGCCCCAGTGTTGACTGGGGTCCACTTCATTTGGCTGTGAACATTAAAGCACAAAAAAATCAACCTGGAGTCATGTGGTTTTGATATCCAAGTAGGTTAGTTTCTCATGTGGTAGGAAGTTTAATTTTTCTAAGGTTTGTAACTGAGGAGCCCACTTAAACAATTTAACATTACTTGATACAATGTACAAAAACAGTAACAGCCCAGTGTAGTTACTTTGTTGAACCTGACAAGTGCTCCAAACAGCCCATGGGAGAGAGGAGAGGCCCTGTTGCCTGGCACCAGCTGCTGCTCCTGCACTGCTCTCAGCATCCGCCTGAGACTGCTGGCTGAGTCTGTTCTTCACAAAGCAAAGTCCTGCCACTCTGAGAAGACACGCTCTGTCTGGGCCGGGCTTCACTGCCCTGCTCTGCTTATCCTGACACCTCTGTGGGCATGAATTTCTCTCCTACCATCTTCGGAGACCTGAGCAGTGAGAAATGGGGGGCCCTACCCCAGGCTGCACCAAACTCCCCATCATTTCTAGACAGGCCATGTCAGGTGACCTTGAACATAACACTGGAGCTGGCTTCCCAGCACAGAAAGAGCATCTTGTCATACTCGAGCGATTTCGCCCTGGGAAGCAGCAGTCTTCCAGCCTGCCTCTTCACTGCCAGGCTAGACCAGCTTTGAGGCCCCTGCTCTGCTTTCTACAGAGCCTGAACAAATCTGCACTCGATTACAGTCCGCCACATGCAGCGGGATGAGGATCGAGTCCTGCCCTGTCTGAGATGAAGTCCCAGCTCGTGGACCCCTTGCTGCCCACTACACACTCACCTGCAGTCAGCACTGCCTATCCTGTCCGGGAGGAACAGCACAGGTGTCAGCACTGCAGCAAGGCCTGCAGTGGGGGCCGCCACTCTAACCCTGACCAAGGGCAAGTGTCCACTGCCATGTGACCTCTTCTTGAAGGTTGGCCCACACTCAATGTCTGTTTTTATGCCTGGCCCAGCCACTGGACTCATGGTCCATGAGAGAAGCCTGCCTTTGAGGAGTCCAAAGCAAGCGGATTGCCATACCCTGAGAGAGGTGATGTCAGCACTCCACATACTTGTCTCTCTGCTTTCTGGGGCAGTTGAGGGGCTGGCCACCCACCCAAGTGTTTCCAAGTCAGCCAGACTGTGAGCAGCTGTCACCCTTGATGCCCACTCAAAGCTCCCACCTACTATGATGGCAAGCTCAGGTCCAGCTGCAGCTACATAGCAAGGCTACACTTCCTGTTGCAGCATGCAATCTGCAGACATGACCAGAGCCCCACAGCCTCATGGGTTCACAACTGACCTTTTGGAACGTAAGGCAGCATGGACACAGATGCCAGTAACACGGAGTGTCCCAGTGAGTGAACGGGTAAGAGGTCAGCAAGGCTTGGGGCATCCAGAGTGTCCTCACGGTGTTCCCAAGGCTACAACTGGAAGGCTGCATTTAGCTCAGTGTCACCGGGCCCCCACAGCTGTGCATGGCCTGTCAGCTGGCTGGGAGTGTGGAGCGTCCCAGTGGAGGCTAGAAACAGCTCCCTGGCCACTGTCATTATGGGCAAATCTAAGATCCAGCTGAGTTTGATCTAGGTTTTTGAAACAAGAAGGTGGCAGGATAGTTTCAGAGGAAGCTTCCCACCCAGGGTGGCCACTCCCTGGTTCCTCTCCAGCACGGCCTCTCCAGCGGATATGGAGGTGAAACGTGGGTCCCGCCACTTCTAGGAAACTGCGGCTGGGTGTGATTTCCAGCTGTTCGAAGTCTGCAGTGTGCAAAGAGGGCAGCCCCTGCCAACAGATGGACCCCGAGGACAGACTTCACTCCTCTCAGCCTGTGTTGGGCCTCCAAGACCTTGTGCTCCCGCCCCGCCAGCGTGGAGCCCGTGGTCTCCCTCCTGAGGATAACAGACTGAGGAAGGCGGTGGGAGCTCATTTCCAGGGCCACGACACTGTTTGCACACGGATGGCTTCAGCCAAGCAAACCCCAGCGATCACACTGCGGAGCGGACCGCTCAGCAGGCACCTGCCAGCAGCCTTTCGAAGCTGCGATTGGCCCCCGCCTACAGATAACAGAAAGCCCTCAGCTGGCAGGGGCAGGCACCTGGGGGTCCTTCACAGGACATCCTCTGGGAGGAAGGGGTGTTCTCAGGAGGGAATTCTTGGGTCAGCCGTCCTCCAGGACGCCTTGGGGCACGGACTGAAGCAGGGCCGGAATATCTTGGAGCGGTTGGGGCCAGACACCCTTCGCGCACACCAGGGGAGCCGGGCTACAGCGCGCGCCGGCTCGGGTCGGCTCGGGGCGGAGCGCCGCCCGGCGGCCCCGGTCGGGGGCGGAGCCATAGCCGCGCCCGCCCCGCCCCCACTCTTCCTCCGCGTTCACTTTCGCTTCCGCTGCGCGCGGCGCCGCCGCCTTCCCAGCATGGACGACCCGGACTGCGACTCCACTTGGGAGGAGGACGAGGACGCGGAGGACGGCGAGGACGGCGAGGAGGCCGGCGCGGGCGAGGCGGGCGACGCGGAC